TAGCAAGAACAATGGTAACAATAATGGTGTCAATTGTTATGGCTGTGAATGTGTCGTGAACAATTAGCCTCGATACCCCCGCACACTACAGCAATATTGCTAAGCTGCCGTAAAAATATCAAACATGTTTGATGTGTAGGCAATCGGACTCGCGAGTTGTTTGGCGCAGTAAAATGCCCCCGCACACTAGAGCAATATTGCTCGTGAATCCAATTGCTGAGCTATATTGCTTTAGTGTGCAGTGGCCTTAAGCGACAGAATACTTCTGTATGCAATGGTATTGTGAATTGTGTGGTATTGTTACTAGTTTAGTGTAATACTAGTTTAGTGTTTCGTCTGCACTGTGTAACAGCTGCGCGACGACTCACCTCCCCTTGCTCGGCGTTGCCACCTCCTCGCCGATCGAGGCGTCAGTAGTCGTCTGCACATCGGAGAGTTGTCGTGTGATCGCTCGCGGCGTCACCGACTCGTCACCGGCTGTCACGATCTGACTGTCACCTACCAACGCAAACAGAAGACAGTTAGACATCTGTAATGTCATCTAAACGCCCATACTGACAGAATACATGTACGTGGACAAAATGACAGTTACACATCAATATCAAAGCACTTATTGCAACACACTTAATTCTTTTTTGAAACATAATATATATATATATATAACATATAATATCATACAACATAAATAATGGTTTACTGGGTATTTATTAGCGTAACTGGCCAATCGCATGTGTATTTAATCTATTGAAGTATGTGCTCACCCTTTACCTGTACAAAAACTGTAAACACATACGCTACACTACGTGTGCAATCAATATAAAAAAATCGACAATATGATAAAAACACGAAACATCACACCCACACGCACCCTACCTGGATGCTAAGAGTGGTCGACTACAAGTAAATAATATGTCCACAGACGTCCCCTGCTGTGCATGTATACTCATGCGATTATCACAATAAGAAGGCAGAAGCCAATGCTAAACCCTACTCACCACTAACGTCGTTCACTTGTCCACTCTCCGTGTCGCCGGTCGTATTGCTCGAGCCACCAGGTGACGCCTCCGTCTCGATGACCGTCGACTGGTCGGCCTGCAGCGTGTCGTCTGCGGCCGTCGTCACTTGGTCAGTGAGGGCTGTGGTCAATGCAGCAGTCACGGGCGATTTCACCTTACTTGGCAATAGGTCTGGAGAAATAATCATTAAGTTAATAATTTTGAAATTGTGTGTTGTTTACTAACACATGTCAGTTACCTTGACCAACCCTAACTTAAATTCTAGTTACCTAATTACTTACATGATATATAATTTTTCTTTGTTTTTAGGCTTTCTTATTTTTATTAGGCTTCCTATATTAAGATATTTTCCTATTTTTATATCATTAGTTAATCAATGTTTTAATAAATAAATGAGTAATTAACTTGCGTTGCTGCTACGTTGTGGGCACACACTATGGCATAGAAATTACCGGCGTTTTGAGGATATTAGTCAAGAACTACGAACAACTAAATAGAATTACGGATATCTACAGATAATTATCGATAGTTATGGAAAGTCTGTTATAAAATTCACAGACAATTATGGACACTTTAGTTACGGGGCGTAACTGAAGTGTCCATAATTGTCTGTAAATTCTAGTCTTAAACGAGTATAAAAGGTGAGTAGACGTGCAGAGTTTTCTGAATGCAGCCAAATAAAAGCACGTGAGCCAGCTTATAATCAGCAAGTTGGAAACGTAAAGTTCAAAACTATAAAATTCTATAGTTATATTATATAGATACGATATATATATATATATTTTGAAAAAAGTCCATTTCAATCTCCCTCATCAAAGACTCTCATCAAGTGTCCGTCTTCACTTCACGGTGACACACAGCAGGATGCAAGGAGTCTTTATCCAACACTTAAACTCGGTGACACACGAACATGGCTTCACCTGCTGGGACCTCGGAGCTTTTCGTGATGCTGCCTTTCAGTACGGCCTTCTCCAAAGACTTGAGTCTGTTGTCCTCCTGGTCCAACCGCTGTTTCCATGCCAACAGTTTCTCAACATGATGCCGCTTCTGCCGCAGCTTCTGCTCTCGCTTTGTCAGATACCTGCCAACGATGACATCGCATCAATCACTGCAACCAACCAGTTGCTTTCCCATAATAACCGCGTTGGTTTCGCAGTTTGGGCTTGCGAATTATAATCGACCCAGAATGCCATGATTATGAGCACCTATTGCTTTCGTGTAAAAATGCCAAATTCTCTGACAGTATAATATTCATGCTACAAGCTTCCCCTGTCATACGCAAAAAAGTTAAACCTAGAGTTGCAATGTTATACCTAAACTGAAATCTTATGTTCAAACTTCAGAGTATTAAAGTGATACTGCTGTCACGTAATTTTTACTGTTAACCAGACACTTTTCTGTCCACTTTCTGAACACTACGGGTTCCTTTACAAACCCAATTTTCAATCAGGTTAATTCAGCGAGAACACTCTGAAAACTCAATGATAAACACTGGCGACTGTGCAAGCAACCCTTCTACATAAAACAATCATATAATATAACAAGAGCCGCAGAGCGACTGGGCTCATCTGAGGTCTGTTGCTATGCCTATGGCTATAAACGTAACATTTAAGTCGTGCGTAGTGACACCTTTGTTAGGCGCAGATATGTAGATACGCAGTTGCGTACACATCATTTCAGCAACCTTCTGCATTCTGCATACCTCCCAAATCCCATTGGTTGATACAAATCGCGTGCCTGAAACTCCTGTTTTATGGTGCATTGTGACCCTAACCCTAACCCTATTTAAAAAAAAAAATGTAATTGTTGTATAAATTATTTGTTGTTATGAAATTGTTGTAAATAAATCATGTAAATATTTGTGTTAATTGGAAAAAAATAGTTAAATGGATAAAGATAGAAAAATACAGAAAACAGGTCTAAAACACATAAAAAATCTGATGGGATTCGATCCAAGGACCTTTGAGCCGTAATCCTGTGCTGTAGCCGTTGGGCTATCCAGGCTTATTGGCTTTCTAGATTATGGATGTGCCATGAATATGAGAACACTGTGACATCATTGAGGCAGTTCCGGAATCCATGTTTAACCCTCCTCTTGAGGGTCAAAAAGTTATCAGACACTCTTCGCACGTCAGTGGAAAGCACATTTCATGGTCCTTTCAATAAAGTGATAAAAATGGTAGGTCAGCACTGAAACAAAAAAGTTTTTCACTCTGTCCGTTAGGCCACGTCCTCAGAAAATGTCTGATATCTGACCTTTCCCCCACTGCCCTTCACATGGGTTTCCTGCCAATCACACTATACACTGAATATTAAGAGCATAGGTCGAGCCGTTCAGATTTGTGCCGCAATTCCGTATTTCCTCCTAT